TGCCTTAAGAGTAAGAACTAGACATGGTGGTGCACGCCTGAAATCCCAGCACTTGGGAGGCTGAGGCAGGAGGATTTGCCAAGAGTTTGAGGCCACCCTGGGCTACATAGTGAGTTCAAGGCCAGCCTGAACTGCATAGCGAGACCCTGTCTCAAAAAACTGAAAAGAGGGCCTGGGGATTTACCTCAGTGGTTCAGCCACCTGCCTCGAAAGTGCAAGGTCCTGATTTCCATCCCCAGTACCCCCCAAAAAAATTTTAAAAAGAAAAAGAAAAACCCACTTTGGGTTGTGTGTGCAGCTTAGTGGTAGAGCATGTACTTAGCATGTGTGAAGCCTTGGGTTTGATCCCTAGCACACACGAGACACACACACACACACACACACAAAATACATTCTGTTTTTAGGGTTTTTCTGCTGGTAAATGTTATATACAAGCAGAGAAGATAGGATTTAAAAAGGTTGTAAAATATTTTTACTATAAGATTTTGAGGGGGTTTTTGTTGTTGTTGTTCATTTGTTTGCTTTGTTTTTTGTTACAGGATTTCACTGTATTGTCCAGACTGGTGTCAAACTCCTGAGCTCAAGGGATCCTCCTGCCTCAGCCTTCTGAGTTCATTGGGACTCTTGGTGCATGCCACAGCCATGCCTGGCTAAGATTTTAAATACCTATTTCCTCTTTTTAAAAATCCACAGTGACAATGAATATTTACCAGGCGGAAGAGAATCTTGAAGGGCTGGAGGTGCCATCAGTCTGATGCAGTAGTCTCTGGGAAGCCTGTTGGGTTACATTTGGTTCCTCAGACCTCTTTGAAGCTATTAACAAATCCACCAAGAAAAAGCTTATAAAATTAAGCCTAAACCAGGAGAGGAGGCAGGAGGATCACCTCGAGTTCAAGGCCAGCCTGGGCTACTTAGGGAGCAAATACAAGGCTGGGATGCAGTCAGTGGTAGGGCGCTGGCCTAGCCAGTGGAAGGCCCTGGGTTCCATCCCCAGTACCATAAAAGAAAAAGACAAAAGATCACTGCCTCGTGGCTTAGTGGTTAGTGCTGGCTGCTTGTCGTGATTTCTGAGGCCATCGCTTGGTCCCCAGAGCCTGCAGCACAAATGGCCCCTTGTCCCTCGGAAGCGGACACTCCCTGCGGTTTTCTAGACTCAACTTCCTCTTTTTCCCTCTGGCCCTGAGGCCCCTTTCCAGGAATTTCTCCTCTCCCTCCCGCCTCCTCAGCATTTAGGCACAGGAGGCCGATTTCTACTGGCCGGAGGAAGAGGGCGGTGCACCCAGTGCTCAGGCACCTTGCCCTGTGTCTCTTCCCTGCAAACCTGGCCCGAAGGCCAAGTCCCTGAACCCACAGCTGTGGGTGGCGGAGCTGGGACTCAAACCGGCCCAGTCTAAGGCAGGAAGTGCTCCTGTTGTTCCTGATTGTATCCGGTGGAAACCGGCCATAGCATGGGCACACTAATCAGGAAATGGAAAACATCCATATAAACAGGGTCACTTTCACTGCGGCCCAGGTGGGAAATCAAAGTTCAGTCCTGACACTGAAACTGGAAACAGTGATCAGCCAAGGGGGCCAATTAACTGACGAGGAGGACGCGACCCGCTGCTGGGTTTGCTCGGTGGACAGCGAGGAGTCTTGGGGTCCACACCCTGGGGGTCTCCTGTGACCCTCGGGCAGGGCTCAGCCCTGCCTAGCATGTGACAGCTCCAGGCTGGCGAGAGCTGCAGCGGGAGCCCGGAGGGGCCCTGCACCTCCTCTGCCATCTCTGCCTCGAACCCTGGGCCCTTCGCCAGGACCCTGGGGACCGCTCTGCAGAAGCGGGTGACCTTTGGTCCCCAACCCAGCCCAACTCCTGGCTCCCAGGCTCCTGCTGACCCTGGGTCAGTCTGCAGGACACTTCAGTTGACTGCCTGCGTGGTAGTGTTCATCTCACACGAGAGAAGGAAGAGGGAGAAGTACAACGAATTTAACCCGACAACTCTGTAGGAAAGAGAAGCCCACTTGCTCCCTGGTGATTTACCTTCAGGGACCACATTTAAAACCAGCATGGCGGCCGGGCACAGTGGCGCATACTTGTCATCCAAGCTACTCAGGAGGCTGAGGCAGGAGGGTTACGAGTTCAAGGCCAGCCTGAGCAATTTCGAGAGCCCGTACCTTAAAATAAAATAAAAAAGGGCTGGGGCTGGGGCTGTAGCTCAGTGGCAGAGTATTTGTCTTGCATGTGGGAGGCCCTGGGTTTGATCCTTAGAACCAAGAGTGACAATCAGCACTGCAAAGAGAACAGTTGTAACCCGGACAGGGCCGGCCTCGTCCAAGCCCTTTATGAATCTGATCCGTGTCATTACTGTGGATGAGCCGCCTGGCTGGGCAGTGGAGGTGGGCAGCCCAGTCACCGGGTCTTCCCTGTCACCCTCAGAGGACAGATGAGACCAGGGCAGGTTCCCTGGCAACGCCTGGGGAGGATTATCGGGGCCAGGACTTTGCTGGGTCTTGCCAGGCCCCCGGGAGGCTGCTGAGTTGGGCCACGGCTGGCCAGGCACGGCCCAGCTGCCAAGGGACAGGCCGAAGGGGGGCAGGCTGAAGGGACAGCGGGACCAGAGTCCTCTGTTCTCACATCGGGGTGGCTGGCGGGGCAAGGCCAGGTTCGTGTGGCCACTGCTGGGCCAGCGATGCCAGCAGTGGCATCTTTGTCCCCGGTGCCCCCTGTCCACCTCTGCCTCTCCCCTTTCAGATCCTGGCTGGGGCTGACCCTGCAGGGCGGCAGAGACCCCTGGTGGGCACCCAGAAAGGACAGCACCTCCTCGGCAGGGAAAGCTGAGGACTCAGGGCACCCCAGGCTGCTTCTCCATCTTACACAGGCCCGGCTGTGCCCCCCGGAGGCCCTAAGGCGTGTTCTGGGGCAGCTTTGCATGTGTGGGCTTTGAGAGCTGGAGGGCCAGGGTTCCACCCCCAGTGCTGAAGGGATAAAGGAGCATTGACCAGGTGCCAGTTGGGGTGCAACCTGCAACCCCAGCACTCACTGAGGAGGCTGAGGCAGAACTGCCCTGAATTCAAGGCAGCCTGAACTACACAGTGAGACTCTATCTCAAAAATAAAATAAAATGTGTGCTCAGCACCTTCTGGAAGGTTCCTCCTCCCTCCCCAGGTCTTTGGGTGCTGGGCAGGTCTGGTCCTATCCTTTCCTTAGCCCAGAGCTCACAGATGGCTCATCTTGGCCCTCAGCTGCCCTCCCCAGGGCCGGTGTGCTGCCCATCCAGGTGCCCACTTTAATGGCCAAAGCCTTCTTTAATTAGGGAGCTCCTGTAATACCAGGCCTTGGGAGGCCAAGGCAGGAGGACCACAGGTTCATGGCCAGGCTGGGCTACACAGTGAGACCCAAAAGGGAGACTACTGAAGAGTGGCAGTAGCTCCCATTCTGTGGAAGTGACTGTAACTAAGTCCTGACTGCCTGGGAAATGACGCGTATGGTTTCATTAAAAAGAAAAAAAAGTATATGTAAAAGGGTAATTATTTTTATATTTATGGTACTGGAAATTGAACCCAGGGCCTTCACCTTGAGCTGGATCAACATGTTGTGCTTTTATTTATTCGTTTAACTTATTTTTGAGACAGGATCTTGCTAGATTATTCAGGGAAACTTGAACTCACTATGTGGCTCAGGCTGACCTCGAACTCAGGGTGATCCTCCTGCCTCAGCCTCCTAAGTGCTGGGATGACAGGTGTGTGCCACACTTTGCTGCAGTTTTTAAACACCATGTGATGAGTAGGCAGGTAGAAAATGTGTGTTGAGAATCATTTTTGTTCAAGTATCCATCTGTCTTCTTTCACTTCTAATCCCACGGTGAAGAGATGCTAACGGGGCTCAGATTGGGGGCTGGGGCTTGCAGATGGGCCCCCACCCTGCTCTGTGCTCCTCTCTGCAGCTTGTCTTGTCGGGCCCTTGCGCTTTCAGGGCAGGCGCTGGAACCACTGAGCTAAATCCCCAGCTTGGCTTGCTAATCTTCACCTGCTTTCCACTGGGCCTTGCACAATCCCACCACCTGGAGTTCTGCCCTGGCAGAGAACTAATGGAGAACAATTTGTGGGCCCAGCAGTGATGAAACAGGGAAGCAGACCCTGCCCAGCAGAGTGGAGCAGAATCAGACACAGGCAAACTCGGCCCTGCCAGGGCCTGGGCCCGGGACTTTCCAGCAGCCTCCGAGGAGCAGCACCTCTCCTGTGAGTGCTGAGCACATCCTCCAGGGAAACTCTGAGAAAACAGGAATGCAGAAGGAAAGGCTGGGCCTGGTGGTGCACACCTGCAATCCCAGCACTTGAGAGGGAGACTCAGGCAGGAGGATCACTGGGAGTTCAAGGCCAGCCTGGTTGCATAGTGAATTTCAGGCCAGCCTGAACTAGAGAGACCTTGTCTTAAAGAAAAAAAAAATTAGAGGGAAAAACCCACTGTGGCAAAATAACGTTTGCCTCACCAGCCAGGAACTACCCTGTTCACATTTTGGTCAGTAGATTTCCTGTGGTTCCTGTGCGTGCTCATAACCAGCAGGTTTCTACAGCTTCTCATCACTCAGTTTAAAGCTGAATATACTGTGGCATTGTCTCTTTCTTCTACAATTAAAAGAATTGCATGGCGTGGAGAGAACATTCATTTATAAAGCAAACTTGTTGGGGAAATTTAGATACAGTTTTTTCCCAAATAGACTTCATTGTCTTTATGATTTGAGCCACGTGTGGTGGTGCACACCTGTGATCCCAGCACTCAGGAGGCTGAGGCAGGAGGATCGCCATGAGTTCAAGGCCGGCCTGGAATACATAGCTAGACTGTCTCAGAAACAACAAAATTATCTTAATTGACTTTCATCTACTTAAATGATTCTCAGCAGTTCCACATGAGGATTAGCCTTTAGTGACCTGTAGATGTAATTGTTTAAAAGCAAGTATTAGGAAGCCGTAAAAAGTTACATATATCAAGAAACACAGACTCAGGCACCAGTAGATGGGACTGGCTTTTTTTTCAAGTAGCTTTTGTGGGGAGAGCATGGCACAGGAAGAAGTAGCTGGTGCTATAGGTAGTGTAGGGCTCAGTATGAAAACTGCATTATTTCAAAGCATCTAACAGGAACATCTTTTAGTTCCGAGGTTGGAGCAGTGGCCTTGAAATTCACGGGGCATCTAGACTCGAGTCTGCAGGAAAAGGCAGATGCCAGGCAGCAGGACAGCGGGGCCCGCAAGTGGTGCCGACTCCCGTGTCCCGGAAGCCACCAGGTGCTGGTCCCTCATGTGGGCGTCTGCGGGGACAGAGGGGTTGCTAGGGAGCCATCGCAGTGCATCGGGAACAGCGCTGCAGCCTCCTGAGCAGTTACTCTCCCCTGGACAGCGGTTGCCTGGTCACGGTCCCAGCAAGGGACGCTGGGTGGGGTGGACTCAGTGAGGCTGTGGTGCAGTGGAGGCAGCACATCTTGGGCCCCAGATTCCGGGAGGAAAACGCAGTCCCCGCTCATCCCATCACGGGCCCTGTGGTTACCAGACACCAGGCACCCGTTCCTGTCCCTGTCCCTGGGCAGGGTGGGGTCTCCTCTGGTGCTCAGCGAGACATTTGCTTTCCTTTGCACCCCACTGGGGCACTTTCAATTCCTGCCCTTCTTTCCAGAGCAAGGGACCCATCCCTGCGGCCTTTCAGGGTGCAGGAGGACGTTGCTAAGGACACGCACAGCGTCAGGGCCCTGGTGGGTCTGACTGTATCCCCGAAAGGACAAACAAAGGGCGCCACCCAGGGTCCACGACCCCGAGTCTCCTGCCCACCGTCCCCAGAAGAGGTTCACTGGCGGCCACCATCGAGCAGCCTCGAGGGACCCATGCAGGTGGCAGGACGACCTGAAGGTGGGGGAGTGACCCCATTAACCGGGCACCCCCAGGCTGCTGAAGAATCTGCCAGGACAGAGGAGGGGACACCTGCTTACCACAGCCGGGCAGGAAGGTCTGGGGGAAGCAGCGGATCTGGCCGAGCCAGCACCTGCACATGGAACACTTCCGGGGCAGCAGCCAGGAGCCGTGGGGCAGAGAGCCACACTTCCTGAGAAGGAACGGGTGAGGCTGCCTTGTTTTGTTTCTGAGACAGGATCTGGCTATGCAGTTCAGGCTGGCCTTGAACTCACTGTGTAGCTCAGCTCGGCCTTGAACTCGAAGACATCCTCCTGCCTCAGCCTCCCGGGATCCCAGGGCTGGCCAGACCTCTACTCCTCCCTTCTTCCCTCCCCTGTCCCTCCCTTTCACGCCTCTGCCCCTTCCTGGCTTACTGCGTGTATGTGTTGCGTTCACAGTTGCGTCCATAGAAGGAGGGGGGGCAGGCACAGAAGGACCCCAAGATGCAGGTGCCCCCGTTCAGACAGCAGGTTTTGTTTAGCTCCTTACCTGAAATGGAAGAGGAGGGAAGGGATGAACAGCCCGGGACAAGCACTTTCAAAGGTCGAGCAGCGCCCTGGCTCATCTCCCCGGCCCGCTGGCGGATGTGGGAGCCCCCTAGAACAGGATCTGCTTTCCAGACCTTTGGGCAGGGGCATCATTCTCACATGTTTGCTGATGTGACCACCCACCCTCCGTGCCCTTGGGGGAAAGTGCCACAGAGACACCCAGGACCCAGGCAGGCGGACGGAGGTGAGCGGAGGCAGGCGGCTCTTACTGTCCTGAATCCCCACTGGTGGCACGAACTCGGAGGACCCAGGACGCATGGGAGGCTCCCCCTGGGGCCGGATGCGGTCACTTCCAAACGCCAGGCCTCCGGGAGACAGACGTGCAGGTTCTCGGCGGCCTGACCCTGAAGGGCAAAATCAAGCCCTGGAGTCTGTGTGTGAGGCCACGGGAAAATTGTTAGTGATCGAAAAAAGAAAAAGCCTCTCACCGGCTACTAGTCCCAGGTCTAACGCGTGGGAAACGGCCACGATCAAAATCACAATCACACTAGGAAGAGGAAACCGAGATGTCCATTAGCAAAGCAAAGCCGAAGGGTCCTCGGGGTCTTCCCTTTGCCAGGACGAGGCCACGGGGAGAAACTGGGAGGACAGTTTTCTCTTTCTCCTCCCCTCCCTAGCGGCCAACTCTGGCAGCAGAATGTTTAAGGCAAGGCACCCATTTCTAACTGTCACATAGATGTGAATCGCTGTATTTTGCATATAATTTCAAGCAGGTGCAAAAATCCTCTTCTATTTCATACCACCTATATTTTTTTCAGTTTTCATATAAGAATTACAAAATGAGCCAGGCGTGGTAACGCACGCCGGTGGAAGCTGAGGCAAGAGGACTGCTGTGAGTTCGAGGCCAGCCTGAACTACAAAGGAAGACCTTGTCTCAAAAAAACCAAAAAAAAAAAAAAAATTAAAAATAGCTGCTTGACATTTTATGGTTTTTTTGGTACTGGGGATCGAACTCAGGTCCTTGCGCTTGGGCAGCAGGCAGCGAAACCACTGAGCTAAATCCCTGGCCCTACATTTTGTGTTTTGATGAGTCATAATTCACAAGCAACTTCATTTAAAAGGTTTCCAGGTTTAAAACTTTTTTTTTCTTTGCTATAATTCTTAACAGTTTTGCAAGTATCGAACCTGCCCATATCGTTAACCTTTCCAGGAGGTGGTTTTTAACTCAGAGTAAATGGATCTGCTTCTACATGAATAGGAAAGATGATTTCCTAGGCAGAGACATTAACACGACTGAAAACAAGAGAAGCCAGTGGCAGAGTAGGATGTGATTCTCTGGAAATGTCAAGGTTTTTCAGGAGAAGCAGCAGCACCCGGGTGGAACTTTTGATGTTCCAGCGAGAGGCAAAGTCAGGTAAGAGAGATGTAATTTCCTAAACTGGCATAAAGCAGTTGAAAGTTAGTGACCAGACAGACTCCTACCTGGAGAAGTGCTTCATCCTCCAGCCTTCCAGAGTGCGTAGAAACAAACACAGGGGAAAAGAAAAAACTACCTGAGGCCTCAGCTCACAGGGTCATTGCTAAACTACCCGAGGGAACCTTGAACTCCCGATGCGGGGACTTCAGGAAGAAGTGTGTCCAGGGAGAAAGATTCCTGCCCTGGGTCTTCAGAGAAGCTGGAGCCCAGATGTCCGGGGAAAATGGGGACGCCCTGGCCCCGAAGGGTGTTTTGACCTTGGCAGGGACTTCTGGGAGACCCTCCTGCCTCCCTGAGAACCTGGGGGCGGAGGGAGAACCCCAGGAGGCTGGGTGGGGCTGGATCCCAGGACAAAGCCCAGCGCTGCAGGGCTGGGAGGGGAGCTGGAGGGACAGCGAGGTGGGGTCTCACTCACGCGCGCTCGTTAGCTCCCCAGCGGGGACCTTGGCCCGTCCCAGGCAGGGACTCCACCGGGTTGGTGCTTCTGAATCTGAGGGGCGGTGCCAGGGGGCTGCTGACTGCGTTTGCTGTTTTATTCTCAAGCCTTACTTGTTGAAATTCACTTTTACCTTTGGTTTCCTAAGAGAGAGGCCTTGAACCTGTTCCGCATAGGGAATGTTTGCAGGCTGGGGCCAGAGGGCATCAGGACTGGGAGCTCGAGCAGAAATCCTGGGGTGCCTGAATAGCAAGGGACCTGCCTGGAAAAAAGCCCTAGGAAACTGGCCTTCGACTGGGGAGGCTGTCTCAGCCTTACCAGAGAGCTTTCCGGAGATTTCTTTTAGACAGGATCTTGCTAAGTTGCCTGGGCTGAGCTCAAACCTGCGGTCCTCCTGCCTCAGCCTCCCAGAGTGCTGGGATCACAGTTGTGCACCACCACACCTGGCTTTGCCTGGATTTTTATCTCAACCCTCAGTTCTCAGTGCCCTCTCCCAGCCCCTTGCTGCCCAGTGCTAGGACATGGGGGTTCAGTTGTAAGCATTTCTCAGCTGGTTCCAGGATGCCCCAAAAGGCGAGGTGCATGCCTGGGACAGTCTTGACCCGACCTCCTAGTCCTCCAGCTTCGCTCGTTAGAAACAGGCCCAGTCATGAGTGGTTCCTAAGCTTTGTTTAATTCTAGGGTCTAAAGGGAAGCCTGGTGTCACCTGAGGTTGCTGGGCTCGGTGTGGGACGCTTTCCTTTGGCCCCGAGTTCACCTGTATCTGGTCCTTGGGTTTAGGCTGAGGCAGGGCAAACTGGCAGCGCCTGGGATGCCCGGTGCATGAGCTTGCTGATCCACTGGGCCTCCGGAGGATTAAACTCGAAATCGCCTCTGTGGGGCACAGGCTCCGCTCCGGCCAGTGGGGTGCGGCCAGGCTGGCGTGGGCAGCATCGGGGCACAGCATTCCTCCTCACCCAGGGACAGAACCACTGTGAACCTGACCCCCTGCCCATGCGCATGGAGGGCTGAGGGGTCAAGGGCATCCCGGGCAGGGCAGGCGGGGCCCGGCAGGGACGGGGCAGGGCCAGGTCCTTGGGAGACCAGGGACTCTCGCCCTGTGGCTGGGGATTCAGTGCTGCTCCTGGCGGAGGGGCTGAGGGCGTCCACGAGGTGAGGCTCCTGCAGACAGGGGCGTAGGGTGAAAAGGACCCGGGGCAGGAGCCAGACTGTCACTAATGACAGTCACGGTGATCCTGGCAAGGGTTTGCAGCCGCCTCTGCCAGTGGGCCAGGGGGTTGAGCCACCACCCTGAGTGCCACCAGATGCCGCCCAGAGCTGCTGAGACCCGCAGAGGCTGCCCGGCCTTCGCCAGCCCTCCCAAAGGGCCCTTGGTCCTGAACCTCCCAGAGCTGCCTCGGCCCAAGAGATGGAGTTGTGTTTAATTTGACTTTGACCCATAGAACCCAGAACATTGCAATGAAGGCACACACTCCCAGCTGTGCGACAGCCAAGGACAAGATGGGTGTAGAGGGGGACAGATTGCAGCTTCCCACAGCCCACTGGACCTCCCTTCAATAGCTGCACACGTGCAGAATGAAACCCGTCAAAAGAAAACCCTTTCTTCAGCATGAGAGAAAAGCACGCTGTCATCTCCAGCCTCCGGAGCCGCCTTCGAGTCATTGTCCTGCGACCTTCCGGCCAGGCTGCGACCTCGCACACCTCCCAGATGAGGGGCGGGGACCCACTAACCCCCCAGCCTGGGGCCCAGAAGCTTCCGGTTTGAAAGAGACTTTGGCTGAAGTCTGGCTGGGTCATTACCATGCTAATGGCTCCTGCTTTCCCCTGAGAATTTAACAAATAACAACTGGAGAGCCATTCGTATGCGCCGCTGGTCTGTCTGTGGGCTTTAAAAGCCTGGATTCCTGCATGTGATCTTCGGTCTCAGCAGTGGGGACAAACTGGGGGGACCGCTGGGCCGGAGGCAGGGTGTAGCTGTGAGGTGGAGGGACTGGCAGCTGCCCACGTGAAGGTCCTGTGTGCCGCAGACAGGCACTGATAAAAAAGTAAAATAAGAATAAAAGAAGGAGCAGGAGGGATCGGGAGAGGACCCAATCTCTGTGGGTGATTTCATTTCTCTTCCTTTGCAACAAATGATAAATCACTTTACCAAGACTAGACGTGGCCTCGTCTACATTTTGCAGGGAATGTAACTCCCCCTTGCATAGATACCCTGGTGAACACTTGGGAGCGGATCCTTCCAGTAAATTCCTAGCCCTGGGATTGCTTGACTAAGGGATGGCCGTTTCCAAATTATTTTCCAAGAAGGCAGCACCAGTCTCCCCTCCTCCCGCCCCCAAACCTGTGCTGAGAGCTGGCTGCAAAGTGTTTCTCAGTTTCTGTCAATTCAGTGTGCGGAAAAATAGTATTGTGTTGTTATTTGGATTTGCACCGATTCCTGTGTTTATTGGCTGTTTGTTTTATTTTTCAAGACAGGGTCCTTCTGTGCAGGACAGGCTAGCCTGGAGCTCTCTACCATCCCGCCTGAGCCTCCGGAGTGCTGGGATCACACGTGTGGCACCCAGCCCAGCTTATTGGCTGTTTGTGTTTCATTTTCTGTGCATGTGCTGTGATGGTCCGGGGCACTTGCTCTGGGAATCCCCCAAGGCACTGATCTCCCGGTCCTGATTTCCAGCTGTGGCTGAGGTGAGCCCAGGATACTGGGTGATCTTGTCCACGTTACTGTGAATTGCTTGTTTTCTTGTCTTTCCCGGCCCTTTGCCTGTCCCTTATGTCCCCCTCAGTGGGAGTTCTGGAAACCTGCTCTTCTGGAAACCCTGGCTTCCCCAACCCCTAGGGCCAAGTCAGCCTAGCTGGTTAACCTGTGGGTGAATCTTACTCTACTGAAATGTTACGCATGGCCATATTTTCTAAAGTGGGAAGGCCAGGGATTTAGCTCAGTGGTTCCAGCGCCTGCTGAGCAAGCGAAAGGTCCCAAGTTCGATCCCCGGTACCAAAAAAAATAAAATAAAATAAAGTGGGGATGGCACACGGGAAATGTCTTCAAGCAGTGTCACAGGAAGACAACTCGTTTCCCCAACTCTGAGCTTGGAAATTAAAACTGAAAGATTTCCGCTTTCTCAGCCAAGATGAAAGAAAGACAAATAAATGCAAAGTACTTAGAGCCATGGCTGATAAGATGCCCCAGGAGTCTGAACCCTGGGTGGCCCAAACCCACCACAGGGACAGACAGGTGGGCAGTCACCTCCTGGTTCCCTGTGGGCAGGTCCAGGTGGCAGACAGGGTCCAAGGAGATGGGAGGAAGGAAGCCGGGGTGGATTTTGTGGTGCTTACAGCCAGGGTTCTTCGAGCTCCTGATGGTTTTGCAGTGGATACAGTGCAAGTGGACGGCGGAGGCTGGTGGACCGTGCCCATGCTGCCGTCAGAAACGGGTCACGCACTGCAGCACACTGGTGCCCTGAGTGCAGGTGACCCGGGGCATTTGAAGTGTGCCCTCCTCTAGGGAAATCGGCTGAGCTGGGCCTCACTGACCCGTGGGAACTGTAAGATTAGTGGGCACCGGATCCAGCCTCTAAGTCTGCAAGTTTGTTACACAGCAAACTTTCAAAATTTTGTCAAGAATGTGATGTGTTCTGAAAGTGTCTTGCCTGGATGTGGTGGTACACACCTATAAGTGCAGTACTTGGGAGCCTGAGGCTGGAGAGTCATGAGTTCAAGGTCAGCCTGGGCTTCATAGTGAGTCCCTTTCTCAAACAGCAAAACCATCTGGGCATGGTGATGTGTGTCTGCAATCCCAGAACTTGGGAGGCTGAGGCAGGAGGAACGTAGCGAGTTTGAGGCCAGACTGGGCCACAGTGAGCTCAAGGCCAGCCTGAACTGCGTAGTGAGACCCTGCCCCAATTACCCCCTCTAAAAGACCCCCAAACTCCTCAGAAAACAAAAGTGTACAGTTAATAAGGATCACAAGCTAAAGAAGGATTTCCAAGTGCATGACCTATGAGCACTAGAAGTCCTGAAGTCTGTCTGCCTCGTGTCTCTCCATAACCAGTGTCTCCTTCCCCACAGCTAGGCAGGTTTCTGATTTCTAGCATCCTAAATTGGTCTTTCCAAGGGTTGGGGATTTAGCTCAGTGGTGCTGCTCCCTGCCTCTCAAGCACAAGGTCCAGAGTTCAATCCCTGGTATGTAAAAAAAAAAATTGGTTCCTCTGTGGCTTTGAACTTCACCTAATTACAAATGCATTGTACATCTACTTCTTTTTGCTAACCTTTTTTTTTGTTGTTGTTGTTGTTGCTGTTTTGGTACCAGGGATTGAACTCAGGCCCTTGCGCTTGCAAGGCAGGCAGCAGCACCACTGAGCTACATCCCTGGCCCTTTTGCTAACTTGTTGAGAGCCATTCTCATTGTCTGTACATGTCTGCTGGTTTTCATTGCAGTATAATATTCCACCAATAATACCCCAATGAAGATTCATCCAGATCATCCGGTATTCTGGCCCTTTTCCTTGGGGACCAATTGTTCCCAAACTCCTGGGCTCATTTCTCTCTGCTTCCTTGTTCAAATGTTTCGTTATCTCTCTGTTTCTTCTACCACATGAGCCTGTCTCCATCACTGTAGCCTTGTAATAGTTCTTTTTCTTGGTACTGGGGATCGAACTTGGGTCCTTGCGCTTGCGAGGCAGCGGCAGAAGCACTGAGCTAAATCCCCGGCCACTGGTCTCCAACTTTTGATCCTCCTGCCTCAGCCTCCTGAGTACTGGGATTACAGATGTGTACTGCCATGCTCAGCAATGCTCGATTTATTATTTTAAATGTCAAAAGTAAATATCTTTAGGAAGAAAAGGGGCAAAGGGGAAGGGAAAGTGAGAGGGATTGGGGAAAAGAAAAAAGAGAATGGAATTAATTTGAGAAAATGAAAAAATGCAAACAAAGTCTTTGTAATACGGAGGGGTGGAAGGGTCGAAGGGAGAGCAGAGGAAGGGGG